GGCATTTGAATCAAGACTTGAAGAGATAAAACCATTATTGTAGAATGAATATGAACATCCAACTTTGTAAATAAATCAGTAGGGGGGGAAAAATAAAAGTATTTCTATTTAAAAAAAAAATACTTGAAGAGAATGAAGGGGTGTGTCATGCTTTATGGTGGAAGTAGAGCCACAGATAATTTGGAACAGAATGTACAAAGACTGAGAGGAAAGGCTAGTGTGGCTGAATAGGTTGTTGTGAGTGAACTTCATAGGATATGAGGTCTGACAGGTGAGAGAAGTGAATTGAGAAAAAAGGCCCTCGACAAAGATGCACCAAGCGTGGAGTACATGCATTGGACCTCGGCTGTATGTGCTGAGAACTTCCTAGACTCAGAAGTTTGACGCCAAGCCACATAGAGATCTCCCAGGAACACTAGGCTTACAGATACTGAATTGAGGATCTTCCTTCAGAGCCAACAGAGAGACGTCTTCCCCCAGAGCTAGTGCCCTGCATTCAGGCTTTTAGCCTCCTGAGCTATGAGAGAAGAAGTTTGTGTTTGTTAAAGCAGACATGTGTGGTATTTCTATTAGAGCAGCACAGGGTAAACTGAGATACTTAGTAAACCCTTTCTCCCTGGTGCACTCATCTCTTGCTATCTTAACCCACCAGACCATTTCTTGTTTTGGAATTCTCATTTATAGCTATATATCTTTATCATAAAAGGTTATATACTTAGTGAAAATTACAGAAAGCATGTGTATATAGTTTACCAAATTATTTACATAACACACACAAGTAACTACTGCTGTGTCCAAGACAGAACATTTCAGCCACCTTGAAACCACTTGTTTCCCCACTGGAAGTAACCAACAGTTTACAAGCAAATAGCTTTTGTTGCTAATGTTTTCCTTCTTCCACTTTATAATTTTGCCATCCATGTATGCATCTCTTCATTCCTCATGATGCTCTCTGCTCTTCTGCCCTCACAATGATGTGAAAATTCTCTTAATAAGGATATCTAATAGCACCTCTAATAGATGCTTCTCAATTCTAGTCTCACTAGGTCTCTGCTGTGTTTGACTATTGTAGATTCATTCATCACACTTGAAATTACTTTCTTGAGGTCTGTGACATTATTTTGCATCCTTAAGCCTTCCTCTTCTATTCTGTGCCCAGGATTCCCTCCTACTTCTGTCTTTGCTGCAGTTAGGCAATTACTTTCAGATCTCTTCTTCAGCTCCGATATGTTCCCTAAGATTTCACTTTACATAGACACTGCCTGCTGGACATCTCCACCTCGATACTCTACCTACGCTACATCTATCTGAAGACAGACTTCACCATCTTTGTCTCTAAACGGATTACCCATCCTCCTGCCTTTCCCAAATCTTGCTGGCACCATTACCCACTGTTCATCAAAGTTAGAAACCTGGGAAGCATCCTGATTTCAACTAACTCTCACTTCCCACATCTCTTAAATAACCAAGTGATGCCAGTTTTACTTCCCAATGTATTTTTGCAACATGTTCCCTCTTTAGGTAATCTCTGGTGGCATGTACTGCTAACCCAAAGTCAGGGCCTCTCTGCTGGTTCAAATCCACGAGAGACTCTGAAGTAGAAAGATGAGTCTCCCTCAGTGCCATTTATAGCCTCCGAAAACCCACTGGAGGATTATCTATATATTGGATTTGATCAACAGTGATGATCAGATCAGAATCCTCATTACTTTTATTTTAAGCTCTCATTACCTCACTTACAATTTTAACAGCCACCTCATTGGTCTTTCTCATTGTTTCTAACCTTCTCTGACTTGTATTCACCTCCTTCCAGTTATAAGCCAAAAATTTTCAAAAATAAGTTTCTAGCTCCTCGTCTTCTGCCCCAACATCAGATAAAACCCAAGCCCCTTCACATGACTTTTAAGTCCCTCCATTCCTTTGTCCTGTTCACCAGCCACATCTCTCACTATACCTAACTACATGCTTTATCCTTTGTCAGTCTATGCTTTCCTAGTTTCATGCTATTGTCCATACTGGTTCCCCTACCTAGGATGGTGCATTTGACTTACACCTATTCTTTGAGAATTAATGTAAATTTTACACCTCTCAGGGAAGTTTCCTTGACCCTCCTTCCTCTCTATCCAGGACTTCAGCCCCTCAGCACTGTAGTAATAACTTGTGCTAACTTCTATCACTGTGAGGACATTACTCAAATTATCTATGTATGTGTCTCCCATATTCTATTAGTCCATTTATTTCTCTCATCAGAAGTACCTAAAATATTAGGATGGAAAGGAAGAGGATGAGAAAAGCCCACATTGATGTTAACAGTGTTTAAAAATGTTACTAAGTTATACACATTAGTGTGCAGGATCATCTGACTATGAGGTCTCCTCACTAAACTCTAGAAAGCAGTATTTGTAAGGAATTTCTTATTTCAAAAGGTATTTTTGGAGAGGGTGAGTTTTTCCTTCTAAAAGTTAGTAAACTACAACTCTTGTAAATATTCATGTTGCAGATCACACCTGGACCACCTAAAAAGCCAAAGACCCCATCTGGACAGTCGACCCTTGTGTATTGCTACAACTGTGCACAGAAAGGCCACTTTGGACATGTAAGTTTGAGGGGCATTTGGGCTTTAAATATTCTGCTATTCAGGGAACAGCTGCCGAAAGATGAATGTAGCTCTGAATACTTACTGCAGCATTTCTCTCTGAAGTAAGAGTTAATAATTAAATTTCCCATTCCTACATATACACATTTGCTCTAATTGTTTTAAAAGATAATAAACAAGCTAACACATATACAGTAAAACAATGATCAAAAAAAATGCCAGCAGTTCTCATGCGTGCTGATGATTGTTTTTACTTTGACAAAGCCAAATCCTGATTTTAGATTTTCTGCTTAATTTTCCAGTACCTCTGCTTTGTCCTAGTATTGGGTTCAGTTCCATCTTCATCACTCACATACAAACCCGACACTCACTAGAAAAAAATACAGGGGTGCTACATTAAAGCAAGAATTTCCTGTCTATCCAGCATACTTTCTAACCCCAGAAGAAATGGTCAGATTTTTTTGTATTCTATATGCTGAGTTGTCAAAGCCAAAACAACTTCCTGCTATGATTCAAGGGTGAGTCTTCTATCCAGTTGCCACATTAAGCATGAAACATCAGGATCTCATCTAGAGACATATTGTAATGCAAGTAGACTCAGAGCTTGTACATTCTGGGTATTTTCAGGCCAAAGAGGAAAGAGAAGTAGAAAAAGATCCTACTACAAGAGGTAGAAAAAGATCCAACCCATCTGCATTCCATACATCCTAGTAAGACAGACTTTTTTGTCTAGAACTTAGACCTTTATTGGAGAAGTCAGAGAAACTCTATGAAGAAATGTGTGCCTTTTTCTCCAGATATGCTTCTAATAGCCTGGAAACCAGAATAACTGATAACAAATGAGGCTTCAGTCTAGTAACAACAGCAGGTAGAAGTAATCAAAGACCTTGAGAGTACTAGATGTGATCAGGGGCAAGAGAAATAATGGAGCAGTTTGGGAGGTGACTTTACGAACTCTTACTATGACATTTCACTGATGCAGACAGGTGTGGGGGGAGCTGGAGCTTTACAGAGTGGTAGTGGTGTTACGTGCCATCCAGATGACTAGAGCTTCAGATGAACCATGTGAACAAAAGCTCTGAACTCTACCCTGTCCTAAGCCAATCTCACTGTCTCCCAACACACCTGTCCCCATTACCACAGTCACTGACAGCAAGGGACCAAGTCCCTTTCATCTTACTTGGATCCACAGTCAGTACTCTTGGTGCCAGTCAGGAGATCGGGAGATGTATTGCACTGGACAAATTACAAAGACCTCTCCAAAGTATTGAGAAGCAGTGATGTCAGTTTGAAGACTGAGGCACACCTGATTGAGGCTGTGGCCTTTTCAGTCATTTGCTAGGCATCTGAAAATGACACTGAATGAAGGTGACAAAAAGAACTGATGGCCTTTGACATGTAGTGTTGGAGAAGAGTTTTGTATATCCTATTGACTACCTAAAGAACAAACAGATAAGTCTTAGAAAAAGTGCAGTCAGAGTTCTTCTTGGAGGAAAGGATAATAAAGCTTCATCTCACATAATCTGAGCCTTTTGCTAGGAGAGGCTGTTCCTTGGAGAGGGACATTGTGCTTGGAAAGATGGCGGGTTACTAAAAGAGAGGAAGACCCTCAACAAGGTGGATTGACACAGTGCCTGAAGCAATGGGTTCAAGTGTGTCAGAGAGGATGAGGATAGAGTTCAGATCTGCTGTTCATAGGGTCGTTATAAGTTGTACTCGACACCTAACAACAACAGGAGTGTTAAAAGGATGAGCAGGAAATTGGGGAGAGTTAATAGATTCTGTTCAAATAGGTATTTGGCCTCTGGCTTCCATATTTCAAGGAGTGAGGTCCATACCTTTGGGGATGTAATTTTCTAATAAATATATCTTTACTATTTTACCCTAAAAAAAAAGGTATTAGATGAATGTATAAGGATCTCTAGGACCTTTTTCTAATCACAGTTTACTGTTAGCAATTTATTTGTGCTGCCACATAGGTTTGCCTTGTAGCTTCTAAGATCTAAAAATTCCCAGAGGCCCAGAAGTCACAGCAGAGTAAGAAATAAAGAACCAGAATTACTGAATAGAAACAAAATTAATAGGATCAACAAAACCAAAAGTTTTGAGAACATTTTCTTCTCAAAAGACTTCAACTTAAAAGAAAAATAGAAGGCATAAATAAATAGTGAAAAGTTAATAACTTAAAATCCTGAATTAGAAGAGAAGGCTATAAAAACTTCATGAATCAGTTCATGAAACTGATTGGCAAGTTTAACCAAACTTTTACTCAGAACAAATAATCCAAGGAAATAATATCCATCTTATTTTGTGGAACTAGTATAACCTAAAGCACTTTCAAATATTTGCAGAAAGATACTGAAAATTTCAAATTTGTACCATTTCTTATTGGAATATATACTAGTAGTAGAAAAAGTAGCATGAAAAAGATGGAAAACCCTTTGCATGTGATTTATAGCCTCTTAAAACCCACTGGTAGGGGGCTCTGTTAACCTAGTGGTAAGAAACTGCTGCAATACCGATGACATGTGGTACAAATCCACCAGCTGCTCCGCAGGAGAAAGGTAGGCATTCTCCTCCTGTGCAATTAAATTGTCTCTGAAAACACCCTAGAGGGTCAGGTATGAATTGGTTCTAATAACATATAACAATCATAGTGTCACACAGTTTGGTGGGTAGAGGAAAGGGTGGGTAAATGAAATGGGAAAGATCTGGCACGGATCTGCAAAGATAAGGTAATGGTGACCATAGTTCCATGATGATTCATTTTATAAAACATAATGAATGGGAATGAAGGACGGTGTAAAACACAAGTATGCAAACTTTGTAAGCAAATATAGAAGAAAAATTTTAAAAACTATGGCTGAATTACAGCCATAAACTTTCAATCAGTATTAACTTCTAGAGAAGGATGGAAATGAAAGGTAAGTTAAGAACATTACACAAAATAATTCCGTTATATCAGTAATCCTGTAATTCTTGTGGAAAAAACTAAAATGTTGTGAATTGATAAAAATGAGTGGCAAGTACAATTTTAATTACTTTATTTAACTATATGTTTAGAACAACTCATAATTTTTTTTATTTTAAATAATTCACTGCTCATAGATACCAAGTTACCAGCTTGGTCAGCTACCTCAAAATTATAATTTCAGAATATGAATGTCAAAGTTATGTAATGAATCAGCTTCATTCTTTGTGGATGTTTTACAAAATTTTTTTTAACAAACTTTCTTCTTAAGAAGCAATCTAATTTTTCTTGAATGCCTAGAGAAGAAGTATAGAACAGTTCTAAGTAAATGTTAAGTAAGATAGGAGAAGACACAAAGAGGAAGGTCCTAAAGGGAAATATGCTTTCATGAAAAGATACTGGTTTTAGACATGTCGATATCCAAAAGATACATGTCACAGATCATGGTTAACCAAAGTGTAATATATGGGGAGTAGTTCAGTCAAAGATGTAGGAATTCACAGCCAAAGGAAGGTGAGTCTTGACAGTGGGAAACTATCCTAGGGAATGAGTAACTTGTCCACAATGCATGAGACATAGTTTCACTGTCCTTTACTGCTGAGAAAAATTCTGACTTTACTACTAAGAGAGAATAGTTGTAATCTAAATGTAGTTAATGGGAGCAAAGAGAAGAGGGCTCTTTGGAGGTTTTCAAAATCTCCTAGGAGCATTTTCAAACTAGACATAACTCACTCTCCTTGTAAGAATCTTTGAAAGCAGTGTTTTGAGTTACAAGTAAGTGAGCAAACTACTTGCAGGGAGCAAAGAGCTAAGAATTTCCCCTCATAGTTAAAGACTAGGAAGAAGTAAAGAGAAAAGCACTGATGGAGGAGACAAGCAAAGGACTAATAATGAAATACACCCTGTAACAGAAGTATGATGAAAATGCATCAGGACTTACCCCAAAATTCTCTAAACTCAGACCAGGGAAGGGGTTGGGAAAGGATGGCTTTTAAAAGTTTGAATAATTAAAGAAGGGGAGAAAAATCTAAGCCCAAAAGAATAGCATGTAGGCATGAGTGTGGGGTGGGGGGCGGGTGGTACTTGAATGGTCTTCCTAGCATTCTGACAAAGTCCACAATCTGTATCCAGAGTGAGGTGTCAGTAGTCGGGGGTTCATCCTTAAGTAAAATTCCAAATCTTGCAAAAAAGTAATTGAACAGTGTGGCCTCATGAATGACATCATTTCAAATACAATTTTCAGGAATGTGCAGAAAGACGAATGTTTAACCATACATTTCCAACATCTCCATTCATCTACTACTATGATAACAAATACGAAATTCAAGAGAGAGAAAAGAGAATAAAACGAAAAGTAAAAGGTATGTTAATTATTTCTTTTTAGATCATACAATTTAGGTTTTCCACACTGTCTGAAAGTAGAGTCTTCCTATGAAAACAATTGTAAGCTGAAAAGGTATTAAGCAAAGAAACAACTACCTTTGGTTTATATGGGAAAGTTTTTTGCACATTCCCAGATCCCAGAAATAATATACCATAATACATATACAATAACAGCCATTATTAGGTACCATCAAATCAATCCTGACTCTAATTGACCCTTTACACAACAAAATGAATCGTCCATTCCTGTGCCATCTGCAAAATCATTATCTTCCCTGAGCCCATTTTTGCAGCCACTGTGTCTGTCTCATTCAGGATCATCTGTTCTTCACCCAAGATGATGTCCTTCTCTAGGGACTGGTCCTTCCTGGTCACTTGTCCTACCTGTTCTAAGACAAATTTAGTCATTCTTCTGGAAGTCCGTGATATATAATCCATATTCTTCACTAACACTATAATTCCCAGTTTTCAGTTCTTCAGTCTTCCCTATTCATTGTCCTGCTATCACATCATATGAAGATATTGAAAGCAAATACTAAATAAAGTATGAGTGAGGTGTAAATTTAGACAGTATATGTATTGTGTGTGTATGTTGTTGTCGTTGTTGATTGCCTTCGAGTTGAGCACAGCTCATAGCGACCCTGTGAACAAAAGTCCTGAAGCCCCTCTACACCCATCAACATTTATCAAAGTTCATGGAGTTTCTGGAGGCATGTTATTTAGGAAGTAGTTGCCACTCCTGCTTCAGAACCTGTCATAGAATGTTATTATTCTATGTGCCGTTAAGCTGCCTGCTCAGTGTATGTTCCTGGGAAAAGAGTTTGGCTATGCCACTCTTGATGCTCAGGGCTGCTGTTTTAATTGCAGCAAAACAAAAGCTGAATGCTAGTTTCACATTCCACCTTTTTCATAAAAGTGAAAATACTCTTGGGATTTTTACCAGTTGGCAGAAACTGTTACTAATAGATCTTTTGCAGATGCAAAATAGCTTGAAGCAAACTTTGAAAAAATGGGGATCATTCCTAAATTCCTTTGTTTGCTTGGCTTTCCCTGTTGGGGGTGTCATTAATTGGCATGAAAAATGTTTTTAATAATTACCATAGAAGTGGAAACTTTCTCAGACTCAAATCAAACACCCACTTGACTTTTCTATATCCTGATCTGTTCACAATATACTGATTTCTCACATAATAAGCACTGTGTTGTTGCTGACCCTCCAGTGGATTTTCTGAGACAGTAAATAGCACGAGAGGAGACTGCTCGTCCTTCTCTGGCAATTAAGCACTATAGAAAATGGAAAAAAACAACACTGCTATTGCCCTAAAGGGCTTTAAAGGTTCAAGTTTTCACTTGGGCATAGAAATACTTTTATCCTTTTTATGTCTGTTGTACTTTTTCATGGAAAGACAGACTGAGTGGGTGTTTTTGAGGTTTCTCCTAAAGATCCTCTCTCACAGAAAGGCTGCCCTCAGGAGGCCCTGCCATCATCTCCAGGTCCGTAGTGACTTTCTGTGCTTTGCTTATTTTGCAGACATAAATTTCATTCTCACAAATTGTTAAAATTTACATCAATTTTCTGTACCTCTTCTCTTTCCTTCTTAGATACTTCTAGATGGTTTCCCAAGTTACCTTTTTTTGGATACAAAATAGTTTTGTTTTTTTCAAATTGTTCTACACAGTTATTTTCCCACACTGTACATTTTTGTTATTTTCAAATGAAGGTACCACAGTTCTTAGTAAAATAGAATTATTTCTCAAATTCTGTATACTTTATACATATTCTTTTTAGTATAAAATATCAACTATATATAAGCAGATAGTACTGAGTATTTGGAAATAATGATTAGGTAACTAAAGCAGAAAACTATTTAAAAGAAATATACCAAAAATATTACATCTGAATTGTATGATTATGGGTACCTTGTGATTTTTTTTTATTGTTGTATTTCCCAAGTCTTCTGTAATGAGTATTTATAGATTTTGTGCTAAAAAAAATCAATTGGCTTTTCCTTTTCAACTCATTATAGTTAGAACTCTATAAAACACCCATTTTGAGACTGGGCTGCCAACTCAAAGGCACGTGGTTCAAATCCACCAGCTGGTTCATGGATGAAGGATGAGCAGCCTCCTGTGTGATTTAATGCCTCTGAAAAACCTGGAGGCTCAGCTGGTAGTCAGTTCTTTCACAGCAACATAATCCATTCGCAGGGTTTTCAGATGCATAGTACTTCAGAAGTGGATGGCAACTCCTACTTCTTAATCTGTTTTAGTCGGGAAGCTTTGCTGAAACCTGTCCACCATGAGTGACCCTGCTGGTATTTTAAATATTGGTGGCATAGCTTCCAACGTCACTGCAACCTCCAGTTCACCCCAGTACAGCAAACTTACAGACAAGTGCTGTACTCGTGAGAGCAGATTCTGAAAAAGCAAGTATATGCATATACAAACTATCAACAGCAACATGCAAAGTCACCGAAAATTGTGACACTTCATCTCAAAACCCTAAGCAAGTTGTATTGACACAGTGACTGTAACATTAGACTCCAGCAATTTAGAGGTCATGTGGATGGCAAAAGATAGAGCAAGGTTTGGATCTATTGTTCATAGGATTGCTGTGAGTCAACTTGATAGCACCTGACAACATAATTCATTGGAATTTTTAATACTAAGTCTATTAAGTATTTTGGCACATGGTTCAAATCCACTAGCTGCTCCAAGGGAGAAGGATAGGCACTCTACTGTCATGCTGTCTGCCTCTGAAAACCCACTAGAGAGTCAGCTGTTACGGTTCCAACTCAGTGGGACATAACATAAATACTTCTTTTCACTTAATAGTCTATAATTCTTTTGTTTCTCCCTAAGTATTGCTACTTTCTACTTTGTTCCATTTTCCACTGATTCTCTCTCCAGCTTTTAAGGTTATATTGACATGTTACTTTTTTTGTCCCTCACTGCAGAATCACAGTTATCAAGAAAATACAGGTACAATGAATTGAATGAAAATCCAAAATCTCTGTAAATGTTCATTAAAATTAATAAAATAAATTTTTTTAAAAAATTTAAGAAAATACAGGTAAATGAGCTCACTCCTAGCAAGTAAGATAAGTCCTGATCTAACATCAGACCTGGCACTCAGACCTCTAGGATACATTAACATACATAAACCTATATTCCCCAAGTTGATGATCTCACCTCTAGAAGAATAATCTCTTGGCCAGTTTGGCACCCATCTAAGTACCATGGTACAGACTATCTTCAGAAGGTAATGGAAATGTCACAGGAGACTGTCAGAATTCTGTTTATACATCTTACTTCACTGTCTCTCCAAGGGCTGTTTCCTTATCACTGAAGGGAACTCAAGTTGGTTAAGCGTGACTTTTCTTCACAAAGCTGATTACTTCTCTCACTAGTTCTTACCACCAGTGTTTCACCTTGTTAAGCAGAACTGCACAGGAAAAATAGCTAGCGGGGCCTTTCTTAATTTTTCCCATTTTTATTAATCAGGAATACTGAACTGTAACCATCCCATTTTTGATGAATTATTTTTATCTCCATGAGAGCTCTTTAGAATGCCCTGTGATTACTGCACTTAAATGTCTGTCTTCACTAAGTGATTTACAGGATCACAAAAATACTGGATGGACTGTCCAGCAGCTGAATATGCAAAAAGTATTTCTCTGTTTTTCAGAACTCCAGAAAAAGGAGGATATATCAGGGCAGTTCAAGAGACCTCATATGGAAGCAGCAGACATGAAGCTCTCCCCGGCTAGAAGAAATAGCCATGGCTCATGGAGAAAAAAGAGGTGGCCACGAGAACAGCCAGAGATCCAGAAAGATGCAGTGAGCAGGAAGAGTGGGAAGCACTGGAAGGCAGACAGGCTTGGCTACGGGGACGAGGACTTCCCCAGGGGTCCCAAGGATCACCGGAAGCCTCCACAGGCCTCCCACCACTCACCGCGTTACCACAGGCCAGGAGAAAAGCAGCCCAAAGAGGGCACATGGGGCAAAAAGAAGAAAAAAGGGAGCAGGCTGGACCATGATGACAATGATAATCTATTTCTTATTAAGCAGAGGAGAAAGAAAACCTAAGAAGTAAAGTAACTTATGATTTGACTTTCCAGTGTTCATTTTGTCTTCCTATCTACAACATTCTGGAAGCATCTGTAGTATACATCATCAAAGTGAATTTTTGTTTTATGTTTTAAAACTCAGTCATAAGTAGAGAATAAAAACCATAGGGTCTCAGTTCTCTGTATCAGGCTATTATGTTAGCAGGCAGAAAGATAAACTCAGTGCCTCATTCCAGTATGACATTTTTACTCAGAATCCTAGGAATAGGATGAATTAAGATTTTCAAGAAAACTTAAAAAAAAATTCAGGGGATGCAGGAACGCTGTCTAATGAAATTTATCTGTAGGTGTGGGTGTGAAAATTAAACCCTTGAGGGAAGAGAACACTAATACAAAAAAAAAAGTCATCAATCCTTTTACTGTGTCTTTTCTGTTTGTTTTTAACATTGGAAAGAATAATAATTGCTTTAGTAAATCTATATCCAGCCTTTCTTGTTTGTCAGGCTTGTTTCAGAATCTTCCCTCAGCCAGAAAATCACAGACTGACTGTGAAAATAAAGGTAGTATCATCTTTGGAGGCCTAAGGAGGCAGGACATGGCGATATAGCCAAGTACAAGGAATCCATTCTGTGTAAATGTTACCAGACAAAGGCCCAGAAGCCAGCAGGGGGGAGTCATCAAAAATTTTAGCATCATCATGGTAAAATTGTTGTTGTCATGTTATATGTTCCTCAAATACAGAGAGATGAGTATTGCTCAGCTTTTTATTTAAAAAAAAAAGTTTTCATGAGTTTTTTAACTACCAGAGTTATACAAGATTTTTTATACTTGCAAATCTTTTGTATGTATTAAGGTTTTACTATTGAATAAGAAAAAATAAACAAATCGAGTGAGTGAATGTATCTGTTACATTAAAAGGAAATGAGATGTTTGGTGGCATGACAGAGAGCATAATTGGGTTAGAGAAGTGACTGCAGTTACGAAGTCATTAGAAACATGGGTAAAAAATGCCTTTGCTGCCCAGGCTCAAGCACTCTGCCAGAAGAGTGGGATGAGATCAGCTCCATGGGACAGTTTTATTATTAATAAAGGTGGATCTGAATTTGTGTGTTATTTGGAGAGTACACAAGCTGCTGGGTATCTGATAGGGTCAGCTCTCTCATGTCCTTGGGAAGGAGCAGGGAGTTTTCTCCTCCGTCAGTGTCCATGTAAACTGTCCTTTGCCTGTTGTTGCTTCGCATTCAGCTGAGTTTACTGGCTCATTACATGCTGGCACATGACTTCTGATATCGGCGAGAATGGTTTTGGCTCTATGATAAGCAGCCCAAATCTTTTTAATAGTGTGGTCAAAGTGACAGCCATGAAGAACTCACAAGAGTCCTGAACCTTTGGATAATTGGACCTTCAACAGGAGCTGGAACAATCGTGGCTTTTTTAATAATGGGGTGTTTCCAGTATGCCTTCTGATCTATAGGGGCAGAAAGGAGATGGCTATTATCTGGATTCTTTTGTACATGAAAGATTAGAGGAGGGGGAAGGGTGTGTTTGCTGGGTGATTCTAAAGCAGTTTTGGATTTTTTTTCCTATTTGTTTCTGCACATTATCCTTCTTTCCAAAGACAAAATTTTTATTAGATTCTCTGCATTTGGATGCTGATAGGAAAGGAGGCTGTGGCTGCTTTACTTGTCGGCTCCAGTAAGGTTAAGATACAGGAGGAAGGCCTCATTTCACTTGAGTCCCTGACTCTTACACAGACCATTCCGTTTAAGTCAGGTCATCCCTTAGTTTATTCACTAAATCTTCCCATACCTGGTAGGGGAAATGAAAAGTATCAGGGAGCTCTGGTAGTGGTAAGAAGCTGCGCTGCAATCCTGAAGGCCGGCAGTTCAAGTCCACCAGCTGCTCCATTGGGAGGGAGATGAGCAGTCTCCTCTCGGGCCTCTGAAAACCCACTAGAAGGTTGGTTCCAACTTGAAGGTACACAGTCACAACGTCAATTCAATAAAGACTTTCCAAGTCTTTCCAATTGTTAGTACAATTAAGAAAAGTACTTGTCCAAAGTAGTAATCATGTGAATGGTTCGGGGACTAACAAGACTCTAGAAAGCTTTGCCTCTGGCCCCACCTTAACTAGGACGGCCTGCCTGGCTCCTTTCCTGCCTTCTGCTGTTATTCTGCCACCATTCCCAGCTGGTGGGAGAAGCAGCTCTCCAGTCTCAAATCCTCACATGGGTCATGCTGTTAGCAGTGCCTGTTAATTCAGAAGGGGTCTTTGATGACATAGTCTGCAAAAGTTACTCTGCTAACCCAGAAGTCACGCCTCTCTGACAGGTTCAAATCCGTCCACAGCATCAGGAGATGAGATTTCTAGCCTCTGAAACCCACTGGAGTGTCCCCTCTTTCAGTTCAAGCTCGGAGTTCTTACTTCAGAACCGTGCTATTCACAGTCTATTATTAGCTCTTTTAATGTTACACAAGTAATTACATTCTTGTCCTAAGAGAAAAATAGTTGAAAAGTCATAAATGATTCTTCTGCCCAAAGACAGCAGTTAAAATTCTTATTGTCTATCATTCCGGACCTTTTGTTACTTACATTGTTGGGTGTTAGGAAGTCAACCATGACTCATGGTAAGTATAGGTACAACTAAATACATAAATGCTAAGAGCTCTGCTGGCCTGGCTGGCTGCTGCTTGGGAGAAGCTTGGGCAATTCCTTCCCATGTGATTTATAGCCTCTGAAGACCCTCCAGAAGTCGGCTGTGAGTCTCTTCTCACTTCATGATACATGATAAAAACAAATATTTATATGTAAACATAATTTTATATTTTATTTTGTAACCGTTTTTCCACTTAAATTTATAACTTTTTTACAGACATCATTATATTTAGTAGTGTAATTTTTTTTAACTCTACCATAATTAACCAACTCCCTATTGAATGTTTTGATTCTTTGTCATTTTCATTATTTAAAAAATTTCTTCTATTCTCACCCCCATGTATTACATTGTGAGGGGATTTTTAAAAACAGAATTTATAGGTCAAAGGCATGCGTGTTTTCAGGGATATTCTGATCTGTATTGCTGCAGACCATTCTCTAGAAGTCCTGTGTTCCCCAGTAGCTTTCTGTCCTTGACTGTGTTCAGCCTCCCACTCCCACAGTGTAGGATATTGTCCTTTTTCTCTTTGCCACACTAATGAGCAGAGCTGCTTTACTTACTAGTACTACAGTGAGGAGATTGATGGTAGGCATATTTGGGCAAGTAGACCATGTATCAATAAGCTGCCAATAAAAGATAGGAAGCACCTGAAAATAATTCTGCCAGTAAAAGATTACATGAAAAGGCTTTGCCTTCCTTCATGAGGCAGGCAGTTTGAAACTAGCTGCTCCAAGTGAGAAAGATGAACAGCCTCCTCGCATGAGATCTATAGGCTCTGAGGAACCCTGGAGGGTCAGCTGATGAGTCAGTTCCAACTTGACAGCACATAGCAACCACATTCCTTCATGTCTACCTTGATCGTCTGATCTGATAATACTGGGTTTTCACAACTTGGAGGGTCCTTACTGGCACCTGAGGAGTAGAAGTTGGGCCTGCTGCTGCACCCTGCAGTATACAGGACTGTGCCCCACAACAAACAATTCTTTGATCAAAATGTCAGTGGAGCTGAAACTGAACACCACCACCCCTGTGCCCATTTCCCAAGAGAAACCCTGCTCAGGGGAGTTCTTACTGAGTTGACAAGGGTGAGCCTGAGGCCAGGTGGCTGGAGTTCACAAGCAAATAGAGCTACACAGAAGGAACCCAGGGATCTTCGGAGGGTCCCCCCTGAGTACTGACAGTACCCGTGTGAGGAAATCACCTGAAAGGATTAGAGGAAACTATTTCTGGAACTCCCACAGAGCCAAGAATAGTTTTCTTACAGTCAGAACGGAAAACCTCATCATTCACGGGACATTGGCTAGAGTACTCAGAATTGCGTTAGTAATGGGGAAATTGGACAAGGTCAAACCTCTGTTCTGGTTCAGATGTCTAGAGACAGAAGGGAAAGATGAAGTCCTCAACACCTTTCTGAGCATGACATCATCAAATGGGGACAAATAAAACCTCAACTAGAGAGGCTGGAAAGTTGCACTTCCAAAAGAAAGGTCTACAGTGGCCCATTCTGTAGAGTACCTTTAAGAATGAGGAGGAGAGTGAGGGAGGGAGGGTTGGGTCACCCTGGGGTACACAGTTGGCAGAGGCTCATGCATTTACACTTCGCCAAGCCTCAGAAAAGGACCTAAGTCCTAAACTATCAATATAAGCAATACAACTAAAGAGTAGAAATATGCCAATAGCAATAATCTGCTAGGAGTGCAAAAAAATATACAAACTTCCATCTAATAGCTCAGAAAATAAAATGTCTACATTTTCTTAAGGAAGTTTAAGACTCTGGTGGCCTAGTGGGAAGAAGTGGTGTGCTGCCAACCCTAAGGCATGTGGTTCAAATCCACCAGCTGCTCTGCAGAAGATGGGCAGTCTCCTGTGTGATTTAAAACCTCTGCAAACCCACTGGAGAGTCAGCTATTGATCCAGTTCTGACTCATACAACAAGAAAAATTATGTTTGGGGGTTTTTATTCTGTTGCTCATTTATTCTTTTTATTTAGTCATTGCTGCACATTTCTGCCCCCAATCCACTTTGCAGCACACCTCTTGTTCCAGATTGCTGTCTTAAACACAATGCCTAATCATATATTCCTTTCAGTTCTTCCCCTCATCTCTTCGAAAAGCAGTGTTCATTATCTGTCCACTCTTTTCCTAGTCTTCCCTCAAACCCCCATTTCAGTCCTGTTTTATAACAGTGGTGTTAGGCAGTATTTGTCATTTTGTGACCGAAATATTTGACTCAGCATAATATATTCCAGGCTCACCCATGTTGTATGTTTTTCAAGTTCATTGTTTTTCAGTGCTGTGTAATATTCCATAATTATGATGGTACCCAACAACAGTAGTTTTATTACTAATCAAAAGTCACTTTTA